TCAGCCGACACTTCTTCAGAAACAGATTCGTCGGTAATATAAAACAAAGATGCTGATAAGAAAAATTATTATCAACAACTGGCATATATATATCTATATCTATACCTACCTATCTATCTATCTATCTATCTATCTCTCTCTCTCTCTCTCTCTATATATATATATATATATATATATATATATATATATATATATATATATATAGAGAGAGAGAGAGAGAGAGAGATAATATTAGTGGAAAATATACATACATATGCAAAATATATATAAAAATACCCATACATGTATATTTTCAGAAAAAAAATTTCCAAGAGGAAGAATCCAGGTAGAACTCAATGTCTAGGACAGAGTAAGGATATAATAAAAAGGCTTAAACACTAATATTCCATGGTCATAATTTATTCCATTGGAATCGTAAATACGATCCAAATCATCAGACCTACAAATTCAAAATGAAAACAGAAAAAACAACTCCGGAAATCAAAACAGAATTTAGAGAGAGTGTAAGTATGAGGAGGAGGGAGATGAAACCTTAACAGAGAGAATTTTAGGAGATGTGTGGGCGGGGGGGGAATTTAAAAGAGGAGAGAAAGAAAGTCGACGGATGTCTAATGCATAAAGATACATATATAAATTGGGGTCAAATATGGATTAGAATCCGACAGAATGACAGGATAAGGAATAATAAGTAAATGTTTATGAATTTATAAACTTTTCCAAATTGTTTCTTATTCACTCATATATAACGTGTGTGTGTGTGTGTGTGTGTGTGTGTGTGTGTGTGTGTGTGTGTGTGTGTGTGTGTGTGTGTGTGTGTGTGTGTGTGTGTGTGTGTGTGTGTGTGTGTGTCTGTGTGTGTGTGTGTGTGTGTGTGTGTCTCTGTGTGTGTCTGTGTGTGTGTGTGTGTGTGTGTGTGTGTGTGTGTGTGTGTGTGTGTGTGTGTGTGTGTGTGTGTGTGTGTGTGTGTGTGTGTCTGTGTCTCTGTGTGTGTGTGTCTGTGTGTGTGTGTGTGTGTGTGTGTCTGTGTGTGTGTGTGTGTGTCTGTGTGTGTGTGTCTCTCTGTGTGTGTCTCTGTGTGTGTGTCTCTGTGTGTGTGTCTCTGTGTGTGTGTGTGTGTGTGTCTGTGTGTCTGTGTGTGTGTGTGTGTCTGTGTCTCTGTGTCTGTGTGTGTGTGTGTGTGTGTGTGTGTGTGTGTGTGTGTGTGTGTGTGTGTGTGTGTCTCTGTGTGTGTGTGTGTGTGTGTGTGTGTGTGTGTGTGTGTGTGTGTGTGTGTGTGTGTGTGTGTGTGTGTGTGCGTGCGTGTGATTTTGTATTTCGCTAGAAATCCTTCTTTCATACAACTCTCATTAAAGGCAAGGGGGGGGATTACTGGCAAGGTATTGCGATTAACTTTTTTATTCATTGTTTTTTTTTTACATCTGTATAAGTGTCACCTTTCCGGACATAATGTGTAAAAACTGTCCAAATATTCCATATAGTCGAAGGCTTTCGCCTATTCTAGTAGCCATTATCAAGGATGTTTTTCTTATATTTAACTGAATATGTTGACTTTTATATATCTGTATCCATAATGATGGGATTTTTTCCAAATACGGCCAGCACGTTGTGGGACGTGTTCATGATTGATATTATAAGTGTAGGCTTTTTCTTTTTTATTATTGATGCTTGCTTTATTTTAATCCCTTTTTGCATATCGTTGAGACTATCATTATCGTATTTTCTCCAAGTATGTTACAGAGAGAGCTTGGTAGCTTTCCTTGTGCATTTAATATATATGTAAATATATACATTAGGGAATTCTATGACAAAGAGAAAAAGTTTTTCGTGTGACGTTTTTTGTCCTTTTAGACTTCATCGAATCACAATGATTTTTACGTTGATGGGACGACAGATGCGCACGAAAGGGACAAAAAGTTTTTCCACTTTATCATAGATTTCCTTAAAATTGTTCTGTTTATATAAATATTTATATATCTTTTTCTCATATATATATATATATATATATATATATATATATATATATGTGTGTGTGTGTGTGTGTGTATGTATGTATGTTTGTGTGTATATATAGTGGAAGCCCTAATAATAAAAAGGAACAGTCAACACTCAATAACATTAACTACGAACACGATCAAATGTGCTGACAGTGTTCGTAAATAAAACATAAATATCGCCCCTGATAATGGCTAAAATAATGTTCAGAACATTTAGACAGTTTCTACAGAGTTAGTGTCCAGAAAAGAAAACACTTGCACGAACACAAGGAAAATTAAATAAAAGGCTTAATCGCAGTACTTTCTCAGTCGTCTGTAACCTAACATGTATAAAAAAGGGTTTCTGCCAGACACACGCAATATATATATATATATGTGTGTGTGTGTGTGTGTGTGTGTGTGTGTGTGTGTGTGTGTGTGTGTAAACTATACATTCTATTACCGAATGCATATATAGAGAGAGATGTACACATCTTAGGGGCCCATAAGTGTGCAGCATATATATTGATGCACTTATATGCAAATTCGTATATACTTGCATATATATGAACGTATACAAACGTGCGTGTGTATGTGTGTGTGCACGAATTAATATATACTTTCATGTATATATGTTCCACAAACTTGTGTCTCTACGTAACTACACTCTCACACACACACACACATACATACATACATATATATATATATATATATATATATATATATATATATATATATATATATATGAGTCACTCATTAGGGTTCCCCCAAAAGGTCCGGGCTTTTTTTCCTGTAATTCGCCATTTCCTCTTTTTGTCCCTTCTTATCTTTGGCTGTCTCGTGACCTGCTTAAACTCAAGACAACACGTTATCTTGCTTTCCATTTGTCCTTTCCCAACACCACCACAAATCCACGTGTAGATATGCTTGGAATCCCCCCTCCACTATCACCACCATATCTGTCTTGCTGTTGTCGCACTACCTCTTCCTTCTACCCTTTATCTCATTTTTTTTTTCAATCCCTACCGCCACCCGCGCGTCCATCCACTGGGTACTGCCGCGCTTACGCCGCCATCTGTTTGTCTACTTATGGAAAGAAGAAGAAGAAGAAAGCTTACGATGGTGAAGAAGAGGAGGTAGGAAATAAGAATGTAAAAGAGGGAGAAAAAGAATAATAATAATAATAATAATGTAAGAAAAAGAAGAGGAAACAGAAGAAAGAAAAGTAGAAATAAGAAAAGAATTAAAGAGAGCGAAAATAATAACAACAACAACATCAATAGCGAAGAGGAAGAAGAAAAAGAGTAAGAAAAAGAAGGAAGAACGAAAAAAAAACAGTGGAAATGAAAAAAGATTGAAGAAGAGAGATAATAGTAATAACAACAACAGCGAAGAAGAAGAAGAAGAAGAAGAAGAAGAAGAAGAAGAAAAGAGCGGGAAAAGGAAACATCGACAACAAGAAGGGAAAAAGATGACGAAGAGAGGCGTAATGCATAGAAGAAGAAGAAGAAGAAGAAGAAGAAGAAGAAGAAGAAGAAGAAGAAGAAGAAGAAGAAAGAGCGGGTAAAGGAAACATCGACAACAAGAAGGGAAAAAGAAGACGAAGAGAGGCGTAATGCATAGAAGAAGAAGAAGAAGAAGAAGAAGAAGAAGAAGAAGAAGAAGAAAGAGCGGGAAAGGAAACATCGACAACAAGAAGGGAAAAAAGAAGGAAAACGTAATCATAGAAGAAGAAGAAGAAGAAGAAGAAGAAAAGAAGAAGAAGAAGAAGAAGAAGAAGAAGAAAAAGAGGGTAAAGGAAAATCACAAACAAGAAGGGAAAAGAAGAAGAGAGAAGCATAGGAAGAAGAAGAAGAAGAAGAAGAAGAAGAAGAACTGTCAAATGAAAATTGTAAAGAATAAAGTTGTGTTCTCTGATGTGAGAAGCGAATGAAGGCTTATGTAAAAAAAGAAAGAAAGAAAGAAAGAAAGAAAGAACAGACGCGAAAAAGAATTGTTCGTGAGCAGAAAAACCAAACGACAAAGCAATAATGAAAGAAAAAGAGAGAGAGAAGAAAGAAAGACAGCAAGAAGGAGAAATGGGAAGCTAGGAAATAAAGAGAAAGAGGAAGAAAGGATTGCAAAGTATAGATGGTGAGTGTAATAACAAAATGGAGCATGGAAAAAGTCTAAAGTGGACGCCGGGAATTTGTGTCAGGGAATGGTGTGTACAGCGGCTCAAATGGTATGATTCAGGAAGATGTAGAAAAAACAATGAAGCGAAAAGGAACAACACCAATCAAAAAAGTAAAAATACCAAAGAAAAAAGAACCCCCCGTAAAAAAAAGAAAAAGAAAAAAAAAACATACAAAAAAAAAAAAAAAAAAAATGAACGACGTTGAGAACTAAGGAAACAAAATCGGCAATGGCGGCTCTTCCCGAACATCTGTGGACGGGGGCGATTGCAATGTGACATAATACTATCCATCAGTCGACTGCACATAATATAATCTGGACACGTGAGCCGTGGGTGAAGCTCGCTGGGAGGGACTCTTGGTGGTGGGTGGTTTGGCGTTGCGGAGACGGGTGAGGGGACACCATAGATATGCCGACAACAACAAATGGATGGAGAGTTTACGGTCAGAATACAATATAAAAGGGACAGACAGCCGGTTGCTTTCTTCTACCATGTCGAAAATAGCCCACTACCATTTTAGGATTTTGTTTCTTATTTATTTGGGGTTTGTGGCATCTTTTATTTTTCTCTTTTTTATACTCTCTAAGCCATTATACTGAGCTTGACTGTGTCCAGGGGTCAATCCTCAGTAAGAAGACGTTAGTGTTTTTTTGGAGTAATTTAGGGTGGATGGGTTGGTGCAGCTAAGACGTGATGAGGCTTGAATTGAGAGAAAGAGAGAGAAAAGGAGATCCAAGCAGAAGGATAAAAGAAATAAAGTTATTATTAGAGCGTAAAAAAGAGTGATGGAAAAAATTTTAAAAGGAGTTCGATAGATAAAGTAAAAATTAGAGAAAGACAAACTAAAGTTAATGAGAGAGTAGGGACTTAAATAATATCAGAAAGAAAGAATGAATACATGTCTGAGATAAAAAAATAAAAAAAAGGCATAAAAAGTACAAAAGCCAATAAAAACTAGAAGAGAAGAAAAACATTAGATAGAATCAAATTCTGTAAGAGAAAGGGAAATGCGGAAAGTGAAAAGGCTCTGACTAAAAAGGTTGTATAGGCTTCCCAGTGTGTCACTAAACACTGGAACCACCTCTCGTTCTAATTCTCTTTGATATACAGGAATAAAAACAATGCTTTCTGCTAGTGATATTATTAGCACTCACGATGAAAGAAAGAAAAATTATAAGTCCTTTCTTTTTTAGAACGAAAACAAAAGGAAAGTGATGATCAGAAAAGTATCTAACGAAGAAAGAAAGAAAGAAAGAAAGAAAGAAAGAAAGAAAGAAATACACACAGAGAGAAAGAAATAAAGTGAGAAAGAAAGAGAGAAAGAAAGAAAGAAAGAAATACACACAGAGAAAGAAATAAAGTGAGAAAGAAAGAGAGAAAGAAAGAAAGAAATACACACAGAGAGAAAGAAATAAAGGGAGAAAGAAAGAGAGAAAGAAAGAAAGAAATACACAGAGAGAAAGAAAGAAAGTGAGAAAGAAGAAGAGAAAGAAAGAAAAGAAAGAAAACACACAGAGAGAAAGAAATAAAGTGAGAAAGAAAGAGAGAAAGAAAGAAAGAAAGAAATACACACAGAGAGAAAGAAATGAAGTGAGAAAGAAAGAAAGAAAGAAATACACACAGAGAGAAAGAAATAAAGTGAGAAAGAAAGAGAGAAAGAAAGAAAGAAAGAAAGAAAGAAATACACACAGAGAGAAAGAAATAAAGTGAGAAAGAAAGAGAGAAAGAAAGAAAGAAAGAAAGAAATACACACAGAGAGAAAGAAATAAAGTGAGAAAGAAAGAGAGAAAAGAAAGAAAGAAAGAAATACACACAGAGAGAAAGAAATAAAGTGAGAAAGAAAGAGAGAAAGAAAGAAAGAAATACACACAGAGAGAAAGAAATAAAGTGAGAAAGAAAGAAAGAAAGAAAGAAAGAAATACACACAGAGCGAAAGAAATAAAGTGAGAAAGAGAGAAAGAAAGAAAGAAAGAAATACACACAGAGAGAAAGAAATAAAGTGAGAAAGAAAGAAAGAAAGAAAGAAAGAAAGAAAACACACAGAGAGAAAGAAATAAAGAAAGAAAGAGAGAAAGAAAGAAAAGAAAGAAAAGAAAGAAAGAAATACACACAGAGAGAAAGAAATAAAGGAGAAAGAAAGAGAGAAAGAAAGAAAGAAATACACAGAGAGAAAGAAAATAAAGTGAGAAAGAAAGAGAGAAAGAAAGAAAGAAATACACACAGAGAGAAAGAAATAAAGTGAGAAAGAAAGAGAGAAAGAAAGAAAGATAGAAATACACACAGAGAGAAAGAAATAAAGTGAGAAAGAAAGAGAGAAAGAAAGAAAGAAAGAAATACACACAGAGAGAAAGAAATGAAGTGAGAAAGAAAGAAAGAAAGAAAGAAATACACACAGAGAGAAAGAAATAAAGTGAGAAAGAAAGAGAGAAAGAAAGAAAGAAAGAAAGAAAGAAAGAAATACACACAGAGAGAAAGAAATAAAGTGAGAAAGAAAGAGAGAAAGAAAGAAAGAAAGAAAGAAAGAAAGAAATACACACAGAGAGAAAAGAAATAAAGTGAGAAAAGAGAAAGAAAGAAAGAAAGAAATACACACAGAGAGAAAGAAATAAGTGAGAAAGAAAGAAAGAAAGAAAGAAAGAAAGAAATACACACAGAGAGAAAGAAATAAAGTGAGAAAGAAAGAGAGAAAGAAAGAAAGAAAGAAATACACACAGAGAGAAAGAAATAAAGTGAGAAAGAAAGAGAGAAAGAAAGAAAGAAAGAAATACACACAGAGAGAAAGAAATAAAGTGAGAAAGAAAGAGAGAAAGAAAGAAAGAAAGAAAGAAATACACACAGAGAGAAAGAAATAAAGTGAGAAAGAAAGAGAGAAAGAAAGAAAGAAATACACACAGAGAGAAAGAAATAAAGTGAGAAAGAAAGAGAGAAAGAAAGAAAGAAATACACACAGAGAGAAAGAAATAAAGTGAGAAAGAAAGAGAGAAAGAAAGAAAGAAAGAAATACACACAGAGAGAAAGAAATAAAGTGAGAAAGAAAGAAAGAAAGAAAGAAATACACACAGAGAGAAAGAAATAAAGTGAGAAAGAAAGAGAGAAAGAAAGAAAGAAAGAAATACACACACAGAGAAAGAAATAAAGTGAGAAAGAAAGAAAGAAATACACACAGAGAGAAAGAAATAAAGTGAGAAAGAAAGAGAGAAAGAAAGAAAGAAAGAAATACACACAGAGAGAAAGAAATAAAGAGAGAAAGAAAGAAATACACACAGAGAGAAAAAATAAAGTGAGAAAGAAAGAGAGAAAGAAAGAAAGAAAGAAAGAAAAAAGAAACACACAGAGAGAAAGAAATAAAGTGAGAAAGAAAGAAAGAAAGAAAGAAAAAGAAAGAAAGAATTTACAAGTGTGAGAGGCAAAGAGATAAAAAGAAAAGTAAAACCAGAGTAATGGTTGTGAGCAAGAGAGAAAGAAAGACAAAAATATTGCCATCGTCTTGTCTGTATTGTGACATCGATGACAGGAAGACTGAAGAAAGATGCCAGAAGAAAGGCGGGAAAAACGCAACCGAAAATCTATTCTTTTTTTCCGCAGATTCCATTTTATTTCTTCCTTTTGTATCATTATTGTTGCCTAAATACATGTGATGCTCTTTCTGACCCCCAACATTTCTTCACGCTATCTTTTTACTCCTGCCTTTCTTACAATGTCTGCTTTTGTCTTTTATACATCGCTTGCTATTTATTAGTATTTATTTGTCCTTACCCTTACTGATACAATGTACACACACACACACACACACATACATACACACACGAACAACCACACTCATAGATAGATAGATAGATAGATAGATAGATAGATAGATAGATAGATAGATAATGAAGAGAGCGAGATAGGAATGAAGGCTGAAGATTTGAGTTAAGGTGAGCACCTATCGGTCCGGTAAATGTAATCGGTAAACCCAAATCGAATTTCGATTAGAGACGCTTATGTTTCCAATTAATACTAATATATTTGGGAAATGCATGATTCTACATTCCTCGAATTCTGTTCTCACGACTTAAATATTTTCTTTGCTATTGTACTATGTCAGAGAACAGACGACATAAAAGTGTGTGTCTGTGTGTGTAAAATTTCTGATAGAGTATATCTGTAAAAGGACAATTGATAGATAGATAGATAGATAGATAGATAGATAGATAGATAGATAGATAGATAGCAGGCATCCATTTATCATGCGAGATAAAAATAGTACCCTGTTTGGGCAAAATTCAGTCCTTTGATGGTGAAACTGGAGTGACCTCTCCGCGGCGCAAGCCTGGATGATGGTGTATGGAGACCGTCGGCTGTCCAGACTACGCCCATCCACGCACCTCTCGGGTGTAACGGCCATATTCAAAGGAATACAAGGCATTGCATTTGGGAACAGCTTGGCTGCAGGAATTACAGTTAAGTTGTCAGTGTTTCCAACCAAACGCCTTCAGCAACAGAGGTTTCAAATCACAGTTTTCCTTCACCTAGATGGATTGCTTTCCTTGGCTGTCGAGCTCCATCTATACGAATCAGCTAGATATGAGGCGCCTTTGCCGATACTCCGACATGACATTTTATAGACATTTAAATGTATAAATTCTAGTCTATAATATATATATATATATATATATATATATATATATATATATATATATATATATATATGAGATAACGATATAAAAATTTTAATACGTCAAGAATAGCTTTGAAGGATAGATGTATGACAAAGTGGAAAAAGTTTTCGGGTGACGTGTTTCGTCCCGTAGGGCTCAGGCTAGGTTTGTTTACGCTGATGCGCTTCTGTCGTCATATCAACGTAAACAAACCAAGTCTGATAAAGACCTAAGGGACGAAACACGTCACCCAAAAACTTTTCCGCTGTATATATATATATATATATATATATACACACACACATACAGATATATGTCTTTCTCTCAGTATATATATATATATATATATGAAAATGGAAACGTGTAGCAGAATTATGGAAAATAAAGTATAATATATATTTCAAAAGAAAAAATCCACATTTTACCATAAACGTTTACAGTTTATCTTCTTTTTTAAAATGTACACTTTTCTCTTGTTGGAACAACTATAACCTTTTCCATATACGTATAATATTAGTGCTCAATATATATATATATATATATATATATATATATATATATATATATATATATATATGAAGGGATTTTATTAAAAATAAGCAGACGTAATGTCTGTAATTGTTTTAATCAGACATGCCTAAAAAAGAGAATTTTCTGCTAAACACAAACACACACACACACACACACACACATATATATATATATATATATATATATATATATATATATATATATGTGTGTGTGTGTGTGTGTGTGTGTGTGTGTGAGTCACAGACAGTACTGTTTCGCAGCTCCTCAGTATGACTAGACAACCAATGCCACAAGCGGATCGAAATCCAACAGGTTTGGTGTCAGTCAGAGCTTCTACTATTGAGCCATCTTCACTCGACAGAATGAGTCAGCCAAATCTAGCGTATTGTTTTTACAAACGTAAACAAACGCCAAGCAGTCATAGTGCTCCATTCATTTTACTGAAGAGCTTCGAATTTATGCAGGTGACCTTTATGTTTGTTCGTTTTTTTTTTAGAATTAGCTTGTCATTCAACAGTGCTCAATTGCAAATATATTTTCAAGAGCTATAAATTTCCATGAGAAATTTATATATATATATATATATATATATATATATATATATATAATTGGACATTGAAGTCAACTCCCAGGTGTAGCAGTCTGTTTTATGTTAATCGCAATTGTGATATGCGTTGTGTTTTTGTTCTCGACTATTTATATATACACGTCAGTGATGCATTGTGGGTAGCCTGTTGTATTATTGTAACGGTTATTTTGGTCGGCGACAACGGTTATGTTTCGAATTATACTAGAGGCTATTGAGTGGAAATAATTGTGGATCCGGATGCAGCTTTTTGCCTATTTAAAGCGTTTTAGTTAACTTTTTTTAATATTAATTATTTTATTGTTGGCTTTTTATTATTACGTTTTCTTATGTTTATGTGTGTCTTTGTGGTTTATTAATGTGTTTATTATTTACTTAGTTCACTTTCTTATTTATTGGTTTGGATTCATTTATTTATGTTATTTTTCTTTATTTTATTTCATTTTTTATGTTATTTTTCTTTATTTTATTTCATTTTTTATTTATTTACTTTTTATTCATTCTTGTTTCGTTTTTCATCTCCTCAAGTACGAGTAGCCACTTAAAATAAGATTTAAGTAATAAAATTAAGATAAGACACAAATGACTATTAAAAGATGAAAAAAATTCATGGATTTTGACGTCATTCTGCGATTTTTTTTCCGTTCAAATCCGTGAATTTCTTTTGCTCATGCTGAACCTCGTAAAAACACAGTAAAAAATTCACTATTTTTTTTTTACCCATAATGTTGAGTGTGTTAAAATTATTCAACATTTTAACTAGAAAAATCTCAAGTTGGTGTTAAAAGTTGCCGCTAAATTTTGTCGACTCATTTGTATTTAAATACATTGTATTTTCAATTTTTCTAGTTAAATTGTCCACCTATATTGCATATGATCCATTATTGTATATAATTAACTTACAATAAACTTTGTATTTTATATGAATATTGCTTCATGAAAATTTAGATAGGTGGCTCCGTATCATAGATTGGGGGGGGGGTCGTATCATAGATTCGAAGGTGCACAAGACCCTTACATCGGTCATGCAGTTATATATAAATATTTCCTCTCTCTCCCTCTTTTTCTATCTCTCTTTCTTTCTCTCTCTCTCACACACGCACACACACGCGCGCACACACACACATACACTTTCTCTGGTACTCATTATCTCACTAGCTAGCTAACTCCAGTTTGTTCATATCTATATCTACCTAATATATCTTTCTTTACGTCGAATACTAAAACACAGTCTTTCTTTCTTAATCGAAACATTTTCTCGGACTCATTCTCCTCGTCTTCTTGCAGAAATCGACCTCGCAGCTTTTTTCCCACACTTCCCCCCCTCAGTGTGTTGAGACGATGACGCCTGCAGCACACCCATGTCCACCAACCCTAAATGTCGTTGGTCATCGTTGATTACGGCTGTCAATCACGGATACATCCACGATTTGGTTCGGGATTACATCCTAACAGATTACCACGCTGTGCAGATTGGCCACTTATCCTCCCAAAAGCAGGGTGGGGTCCGATTTTCTGCTATTTGTGAGGCTTGCCCCGAGCAATCGGACGCGATGGCTGCCGACTGCGACACTGGGCAAAAAATAACGAGAAATGGTAGGACAATATTTAGACGCACGCGCATGAGTAAATTTGAATATGTTGGTGTCGTAGCAACTATGTGTGCATATATATATATATATATATATATATATATATATAGATAGATAGATAGATAGATAGATAGATAGATAGATAATAGCGCAAGAAACACACACACCTATGCACAAATGCTTGTAATATATATGCATATAGTACTGGTATATATATATATATATATATATATATATATACGCACCCCCACACATATATATGTGTGTGTGTGTATTTGTGCATGTGTGCATATATACATACATATATATATAGATAGATAGATAGATAGATAGATAGATAGATAGATAGATAAACCTAGTGAGCTAGACAAACCTACCCAGGTTTCACCTAATCGGATCGTCGGGATTGATTTGATTATTGGCAAATCCAAAATTCGAAGGTTTTTCGAAACGAGTATAGTTACCTATATAGATAGATAGATAGATAGATAGATAGATAGATAGATAGGGAACACAAGAACTTGCATACACTTATATATATATGTAGGAAATATATATACATATATCAGTAGATACATTAATTTTTAACCTAATTGAGAAACTTATTTTGTTTTAAAAACAAATATATTTTCAGGATAAACTTTCTTGTCAATGCACTTAATTCAGTGATGGATACGTTGGTACATCAATAAGTCGCCGGTCTAATATAGAAATACTTTTATTTTATGCAACAAATATTTATATTTCAACATACTTTTATGCCTTGTCAATCACATGTATCGAACATTATTCATTGAAAATTTCAGATCAAATTTCAGATGAATAATAACTACTATATTTTTCGGATATATTGATAAATTCACGCACCTGAAAGCATATAAGATAGATAGATAGATAGATAGATAGATAGATAGATAGATAGATAGATAGATAGATAGATAGATAGATAGATAGATAGATAGATAGATAGATAGATAGATAATGAAGTGTGAGATCGATAGATAGATTGATAGATAATCAAGAGCTAGCTAGCTAGTTAGATAGATAGATAGATAGATAGATAGATAGATAGATAGATAGATAGATAGAATTCTGTCTGACTGTATAATGTAGACACTCGCACATGTACATAGGAGTTTGTGTATCTATGAATACATAGTATGGTCATTTATAACTTTAAAATTTTTTCAACCTTAAAACAATTGCAAATAATCATTAAGTTTTTTTTTTCTGTTCAAACGTAGGAGCTAAGTGCGCATGTGTATGCGCAGAACGGAAATGACATGACAAAGGGAAAATGGCAGAGTAATTTAAGATTCCATGTACCAATCTTTGGTGTCACTTCATGATGGAGCTGTCCCGGCACCAGTCATCATCTTGTCATCAATAGGGCACAGTGCACCAAGACATGACAAGAGTCAGTAAAAGGCGGCGAATTTCTCCTGTCTCTTCGAATAATTCCCAGACGAAAGGTCCTACAGTCTGCACTCATATATGAAAGTCAAATTTCAGAGGTTTAGTGTGATACTCAAGTATGGAATGCATTCGTGGCAACTAATCATTACATAATTTCTAATGAATCTTAATCCTTCATTTAATGATTGAATAAGGTCATGGCGAGTTCTCCGGCAATAAAATATCCGTAGAAATTCCCCTATCGCATCCTTAATTATTTCATTTTAACATCTTTAACAATATATTGCAATGCCAATCATAAATATGGATGCTGGTTGCTATTTTAAGAAGTAAGGAGGTACAAATAAAAAGATTTGAAATTGGCAATTTCTTTCATTTCACTAAAACAGACGTTAAAGAATTCTATCTTTCATTTTCTCAGCGTCTTTTAATATCTTTTGTCTTATCACGCGATCAAAACGAAAACTCAGTTAGTTATAAGATATTATGAGAAGACGTTAAACACTTCTATCTTTCTTTTTTCACTGAAACCAAGTAGCGTCTCTGATATGGCTTGTTTTCCACGTGATCAAAATGAAATAACCCATTATTTAAGAGCTATTGGCCAAGCGAAGCACAATCCCAAGTATTATATGAAGATATGAACGGTAGGTGTTTGAAACACGAAAACTCTTATTTGAATGCAATAGAAAGCCTGACTTCTTTATGAAAGATTTGTTTGTCGCAAAAGTTTTTTTATATGAAACACAGACTGTTAGGTAGGAATCGACCGTAGTCAGGATCATCGTATCAATGCGAACGATACTTTCTTTAAATGAATCGTATGTTCCTCGCCGGGGCTACATAGAGACTCTGTTAGGTGCTTAGACTAAAAGACAGCCTGCATTAACGTAAGAATTATTCCAGAAAAAGCCGTGGCTCATATAGCAACACTATGATATTCAAAAGCAGTTAAACCTTACGGTGATATCTCTCCAGAACCAAGACCCCACCCTCAGAAGAATCTCCTGTCATTCTGGTACTGAATACAAAGGGGAAATTACCAGCACCCTAAAAGTAATGGTGGAGGAATAATATGAAGCTGTTATCCGGGGAGAAACTTTGAAATCTGTTTTGGCCAATCATATATGGTGGGAAAAGTGTGATCATTAACGCCTATGGAATGGCATTAAGAACAACACTTGAGGATAGGAGAACCGAACAAAAATCACCTCAGTAGACCTAGCATGGAAATAAGCACTATCTGGGAGCCTCTGATTAAGAAAGAAAAGAAAAGAAAAAGAAAAAGAAATAAAAAAGGACACCCAACGAAACGTTCCATTACTTGAATCAGGGCATTCATATCGTCAGGACACATGCAGTTGCACACCACCTGATACAGACGCCCCACCTGAGTGCAGAGATTTGTTTTAAGGCTCCAGAATTTCTATACTTGATAAGACACGATGGGATAAAGCCTTTGTAAATCGGTTTCTTTGGCAGATGTGAGTTCAATCCCTGGTTCTGGTAGTGGAAAATTCGTATGCTCTTTTGAAGGGGAAGAAACAGAGAATTTACACAAATTTATTGAACCCAATTTATAGAGAGAATTCATTTATTTTTTACTTATTGTTTATTTTTAATCATCATCATCATCATCATTACCAGTCCAATAGCCGGGTGTGGTCGTAAGGTAGCAGTTCAACACATGAGCAGTTCCCTCCAAATAACTGAGTTAAAAAAACGGAGAGATTTTCTTGCATAGCATGTCTTGGCTAAGTAGACCTGGCGGAACCCATCCCTCTTTAGGTCACACCAAAGCCAATGGCTTCCAACTTGAAGGCTCGCCTTGGTGACAGAGACGTGGCCGTTAATTCTAACGGGGCAACCATCCATCCAGATTATTGACTTTAGTCTAGTAAGCCATTGACCCAGCGATGCTGTTTTTATTCACTTTTTATCAAAATATTTCAATCTTTTCAAACTAATTATTTTTAACCGGCAGTGAGATTACACAGAATGTGTTTGGTTCAGAGTATATAATTCTGAGGAATACGCACTCTTCAATTTTTCATTTAGATTTATTAAAAAGTTTCATTATATATATATATATATATATATATATATATATATATATATATATATATCAGAAGTTTAAAATATAACCTTATCTTGTGATTAACGTCCTATCTCCATCAAACCAACCGCCAACATGGACGATGGCATCTTCCGGAAACAAGGCCACTATCAACCCGCATGCGCAATTCGCTTGATCTCAATGCCATATGATAGGTGCGTTAGGTAAGCGGATATGCATAACAGGATCAATTATCCTTGATGTGTCTTAATCCGATAGATTAGCAATCCGCAAAAGTTGTTGATATAAGTTCGCCCTACCAACAGAAACCATGGCTTGGTCACTAGGTCTTAATCCGTTCAAGGTCTAGAAAAAGGGGGCAAGATTTGGCAGTCTTCCGCTTTGTAAACACAGACGTCGGATTTATATTCAAGAAGGCGTCAAAAGTCATCGAAGAGTGTTGGTTTCGGTTTTCCATTGAACAGACAGTGGGAAGAAAATGTCTGAAATCATGGTACCGTGGTCGTTAGTTTCGTGAAGCCTTGGAGAGCTGATATTATATGACTCGATTTTGTCAGTGTGAAAAGGGATGATGTGTGGGCATTGGCGGGAGGAGTAGGGTAAGATATTGGTGTGGAAACAGGCGTGGGACTTGGTCACAGCTGGGAGAGAAAATAAGATTATGAAAGTTAGGGAAAATGTTTAAAAAAGAGGAGGAAAAGAAATTGGTTTTGAAAATAAAGGAGAGAATGAATGCAAAAAAAGGATGAGAAGAGCAAACGAAGGGAGGGAAATGGTAAAGCAAGAAAGAAGACGGTGTTGTGTAAGAGAAGAGAAATGGATGAATTTCACAGAAAGAAAGGAAGAGGAAGGAAGGAAGGAATAAAAAGAAGGAAATAGGAGAAAGAAAATGGGCAAAAGATATCACTGAAAGAAAAGGATAGATAGATAGATAGATAGATAGATAGATAGATAGATGAGATAGATAGATAGATAGATAACAGACTGAGAGATAGATAGATAGATATGAATAGATAGATAGATAGATATGAATAGATAGATAGATAGATAGATAGATGATAGATAGATAGATATGAACAGACGAGATAGATAGATAGATGACAGATAGATAGATAGATAAATAGATAGATAGATAGATAGATAGATAGATAGAGATAGATATGAATGAACAGACTGGGATGGATGGATAGATAGATAGATAGATAGAGATAGATGAGATAGATAGATGATAGATAGATAGATAGATAGATAGATATGAACAGATGGGGATAGATAGATAGATAGATAGATAGATAGATAGATAGATGATTTGGACATGCTGAGATAGATAGATAGATAGATAGATAGATGGATGGATAGATAGATAGGATAGATAGATGTTTGAGCAGATTAAGACAGATAATGAAATGCCTGAGATAAATAGATGGTAAAAGATCGGGATATAAAACGCAAATATACAACTTTGTGAACAAATCCAGACATATTCTGTTTATGACTCTAACTTATGAAGATAAGTTTATTTAAGGTAGATGACGTCGTTAAAAAGAATCCTGCATATAGATCTGCATGTTTAAGAAGCACCAATATAACTTAGAAATGTCTTTCTAAACATATATCTTCATTTATTTACTGATTTCTTCTAGAATTTTCGTTGCCCATTGTAGGACACAGGTTTTTTTCATAATCTATACGAATCATGGAGATAACAATTAGTAGGGCAATCCACCATGGGATCCAATTGGACACAATCCCTCTACACCACATGCCTCGGGCCAACGGGGAGTCATCTTTTGACGGTCAGCCCGTTTAAAATATTTATGCTAAAGAAAATGGTATTTCTCATTAAAATCTTAACTGCACTGTGTGCGTGTAGACGCGTACGCACTGTTATGTGTGCGCAGAGGGTGGAACGAATTTTTAATATTACTACTGTCTCTTTATCTAACAAGATAGATAGATAGATAGATAGATAGATAATGAAATGACTGAGATAGATAATAGATGAAATGAGATGAGATAGATAGATATTAATTTTAATATTATACTGTCTCTTTATCTCACAAGATAGATAGATAGATAGATAGATAGATGATAGATAGATATTAATTTTAATATTACTACTGTCTCTTTATCTCACAAGATAGATAGATAGATAGATAGATAGATAGATAGATGATAGATAGATAGATATTAATTTTAATATTACTACTGTCTCTTTATCTCACAAGATAGATAGATAGATAGATAGATAGATAGATAGATAGATAGATAGATATTAATTTTAATATTACTACTGTCTCTTTATCTCACAAGATAGATAGATAGATAGATAGATAGATAGATAGATAGATAGATAGATATTAATTTTAATATTACTACTGTCTCTTTACCTCACAAGATAGATAGATAGATAGATAGATAGGTAGATAGATAGATATTAATTTTAATATTACTACTGTCTCTTTATCTCACAAGATAGATAGATAGATAGATAGATAGATAGATAGATAGATAGATAGATATTAATTTTAATATTACTACTGTCTCTTTATCTCAAGAAGATAGATAGACAAGATAGATAGATAGATAGATAGATATAATTTTAATATTACTACTGTCTCTTTATCTCACAAGATAGATAGATAGATAGATAGATAGATAGATAGATAGATATTGATTTTAATATTACTACTGTCTCTTTATCTCACAAGATAGATAGATAGATAGATAGATAGATAGATAGATAGATAGATAGATAGATAGATGTCATCTCTAAAAGTGTGAAATGAATTGCTATCATTTCCAGGGGAAGATAATGGCTTCCTGGTGCATTCTACACGATCTGGAATTCGGTATTTTCCTTATCTTCGACTGGTTACCAACCAAAGCTTGAGAAGCCACTCCCCTATTATATAATCCATAAATATGAGTTAGAAAAGATGAATTTCTGTCTTTTCCAGCAACATTTGTCCGAAAGCAAACGCTGCAGACTAGACTTGAATTTGAAATCGGCTCACCAATTTTCCGCGCTAATAAGATTTTCACTACACACACTTGCCTATGAATTGCCATGACATTTTGGAAAAGATTGTGGTTTCTCCGTTTTCTTCTCTACAGATTTGTTTTAAGAGTTTTCCTTCTCTTAGATCGGTCGCCATCCAATGGGTAGAGAGATCACTCTATTCTGATATTTAACCTATAGGATGGGGAAAATAAATAGATTTATGTATTTTCCAAAGGCATTATTGAAGAGAACAAATTATGAAGAGGCTTGAACTCGCCTCACCGGTGCGAAGAAACGTCCCACTACTCGAAGATCCGCCCTTGCCCAATCATGCACGGCGGGTTGGAAAATAAAACAATAAAAAAAAATAGCAAAGAAACTGATTGCAGAAAATTAATAGATATTAGAAAAACCGTGAGATAAAGAGCCTCTGACTCTCATTTCTATATCGCTTCCTCTCACTTCTGTTTCAAGATTATTTGTGATGTTAACGAACACTCGCTTTACACTTTTGTGATGCCAATGAATACTCGTTGTCACTTTCGTAATTCTCGTTGTAGTAGAGACTTTGTAATCGCAGGTACAACTATAGTAACGTTGAACAATACTGGTGTCAGATGCCTTCGAATAACACTCGTACTAATAGTAATTGCCCGATAATACTCGCTCCAACAGTAATCCATATAGTAATCCGAATAGAGAAACAGTATAGTGAATAGAGTAGAGAATAGCGGTTCATATAGTAATAGAGGATAGAATAGAAATGTAGAACAATCTATAGGTCACACGACTTCCTATATATGTGTTTCTGGGCACATCGAGGTTATGTAATGGTCAAGAAGCTTGTCTCGCTACAACAATTACGCCTGAATGGGGAGATCGATCTTCACAGGGTGCCCCATACTTTCGGCCTTGTGCCACATCTAAGCTACGCTTGGAAAATCACTATATGCGTTCCCTCTATGGTCACGTGATCTACTTAATTCAATAATGAAATCGCCTGTGTTTGCTCACTGGCGATCTATATTCAAACTCGAGTGTCGACAGCGACACTTTATTCCTATATAACAATATCACATCTCGTTTTTGTTGAGATAACACTTCTATTTTTATTACGATATAATTGTTGACCATGTTTTGCCGTAGTCTCTGAATATGGAATCCAGTGAAGTCCGTAATGTGTTCAATATCAGAGGTTGGCAGTGAAGATTCAAAGAAAGTAGCAGCTGTTAAGTAATTCTTTAAGTCTTCGATATCAGGTTGGCAGTGAAGATATTTTTGGGAGAAAAAACAAAATGGCTGCATTTATACACGTCGGATTGAATATTTTGAGCTTTCTGATTGGTTAACCTTTCTATTGGTGAACTATAAAATGAGTCAGCTCATTTTGGTTGGCTCACTAGTACATAATACCCCAAAATTCTAACAATCATTTCCTCTCATTTCTGTTACGATATCATTTCTTCTCATTTATTTGAAATATAACGTCCTCTCATTTCTGCTGTGACACAGAATAGCCGACAGATTTTACGGTTCCAGAATCTTATTGTTGCTGCATCGATCAAATACAAATACGTTCACATGAAACTATTTTCATAAAATATATATGCGACGAAATGACAAAACGTTGTTTATATAACAACTGGCAAAAGAGATGAGATAACATCACGGTAGGAGTCTTCCTACACTTTGTCGTCAATCATTTTTTTTTTAAAGATCAAGGCGCGGACATTTTGGATAGAACAGAAAAACGAATTTTGGATAGAATGGTAAAACGGGAAAACGCAAACCTGATCCAAGAGAAATTCAAAATTGACTAAAAACGACTAACAATTCAAAATCATTTTTATTGGTGGGGAGAGGAGTGCATAGAAATAAAAATAAATATAAAAAAATAAATTAATAACAAATACAGTAATCTCAGCTCTACGAACGACTTTCAAAAATAAGTTATAACAAGTAATATATATATATATATATATATATATATATATATATATATATATATATATATATAAGTATAAGTGCGTAGGTATGCAGAAAATAGAAAAAGAACACGTTGGGTGCATAATCCGGGGTTCCTTAGTATTTTTGTTTTTTATTTTAAGAAGACAGTGCTCCATACAGAAGTAGAGCTTATATTATAATAAATTTTGTTTTTTGATTATTTTTAAAAATAAGAGTTCTCATGTCGAATTTTCTCGAAATATCCAAATAATTATTAAAATTAAGTTGGATTGTGGTGTTTCGTCATCATCTTCAAGCGAAATTTTAGGAATAAACTTGATAATCCAATAATTTTTTAATAAATTTTGAAGTTGGATTGAAACATGAGAACTTTATTCCGTTTCCATATTTTCAAAAAAATTATATTTATATATATATATATATATATATATATATATATACGGATTTTATAAAAGTTGGTGATGTAATATAAGGTGTTTGACGTGTGTGTTTATAGATGGAAAATATTTGCAGAATTCCTTCGGTGTATTTCCTACGTAAAGATATATGTTCTTTTTTAATCAGACTGGCATTTCTGAAATCAAAGCTCAGTTTAAAAACTGCGAGTTCAAATCATTTTAGTCCAACAATTAAAACCACTCAGACGCAAGGGGTTACTGAGTGTGAAAGAATACGAGAAAAGGAAAAACTTTATTAAGGAGGGAGAACAATAAGAGAAAAGGAATTAAAAAGACAATACACTTGTCATAGTATTTAAATTTTTGAAGCTTAAAGTTGACTGGAAAGTAAGAAACCGGCAGAGAGTTCCACAAGCAAGAAGTGCGAAAGAAAAAACTGTTAACATTGAACAATTACATCGTGCTACTTCAGCTGTAAAATGATGAGACATAGTTATTAAATCTAGTCATTCAATTAAATTCCATATGCTTGGCGATCATGTCTCTTTTCGAATCCTGGCTGCCGTTTCTTTCTACTGTAGACCGGTTGCCAGTCAAGGCTATAGGACACAGTCTCTCTTGCTATTTAACCCATAGCTGGAGGGAGAAGAGCTGGTTTCATACTTTTTCCCAGTTGTATTTTTTCGTGAACAGCTATACAGTATCACTCATTCACAGATGAAGAGTAAGCATCGGCTCTACAGGAAGATGCTGAGAATGTCATGTACACAGCATTATGAGTAACGAGAAAGTTTTAGAGAAAATGGAAAGCATAAGGACACTTATATTTAGAATCAGAATGAAAAAAAAAGAATTTTCTGTAACAAATCATTGTGTGTTCCAGAAATGTCAACTGTTTCCATGATTAGATGAAGTCACGGTAGTAGTAGTAGTAGTAGTAGTAGTAGTAGTAGTATTAGTATAATAGTAGTTTTTCTACCCTTTATCGTCAATCATATTTTTTCATAAGATTAAGGCGCTGATATTTTGGATAGAATAGAGATGTTATTTCAGCCAATATTTCACTAAAGAAGCCTTGGAAAATTTTACACTCACAGGACATATAGAAATCAAGAGGAACAGTCACCAAGATAACGAGCTTGTGTAAATGGATGGCAGAACATTGACTGAGGGATAATAAAAAAGATAAACATTTCTAAGAGCTACAAAGGATAGGAATTTGGGGAGACCTAGTATCACCAACACGTCACATAGAAGACTGCATAGTGTATTCAAGGTAAAATTCATTAGTTTTGTTAGGTACAGGGTGCAGTATAAATGCTGTTACAAAATTTCAAATGACTTCTACTTCCAAATTTTTAGTCATTACATTGTTGTTTATAGTTCTCCCAACAACATATACTATTTTTTTAGAGTGTTTTCGTATTTACTGGCAACAATGTCTATAGAAATTAAAAGAAAGTACAGTAGAACTCCCCGAATCCGAATATAGCATAATCTAGGATTCCTTGAATTAGACTTCCTCGAATTTAGACTCATCTTCAAATCCGAACTTTTGTATTAACATAAATATGAAACTTTTTCTTCCTCGAATCAGAACAGTACCCCAAATACCAAACATCTCAGATATTCGATTTAGAGGAGTTGTACAGTATATCCTTATTTTTGTCTTCCTTTACAGATTGTAATTGTTTTTGAATAAGCTATTTCATAAATTTTTAAACATTTCATAAAGTGTCTTAGTTTTTCACAAATTACATTATTTACCACATTTTTTTTATTACTGTTGGTTGTCAATTATTTTTGTACATTTATGTATTCAATCTACACTTTAAATAAAAACGAATCAACGTTACAAACTACCTTTTGTATCCTAAAATCTAAAACTTAATAAAACAATTTTAAGATTACCACAGCAGCCTTTTCTTCCCCGAATCCGAACAGTATCCTCAATACCGGACATCCGAGATGTTCGGGTTAGAGTTGTACAGTATATAAAACAAACTCAACTTGACGTATTTAAAGCTGGAAAGCAACTTGAAATCAATAGAATGATTATCAAAAGGACAATCAATCGATACAACGAGACATCATTAATCAAAGATAAACCGAGACCAGGAAGCCATCACACCCTCAGGATACCAAAACACATTCAACAGATGCGTGAAAAAACCAAGCGTAATCAAAGGTCATTGAGGAAATTGGCTAAGGAGAACCAGCACCAGGCGTAGACTATGTCGAAATGATCTGGAGATGTTAGCCTAGAAGATAAATAAGTGACAATTTCTTTCATCAGCCACAATGAAAAAGAGGCTTCAAAGAAGTAAGGAGATGCTGAAACGGATCCATGATGACAAGCTGTAAAACATCATCTTTACTGATGAGAAACTATTCACTGTT